TGGGGGAGAAAAAAATTCAGCAAAAATTAACTGAAAGTCAGATCAAAGCCAAATTAAGTTTGCACCCATTTTAGAAGGTGCTCTAACGAATCCAAGCATTTAGAACCGTTTTTGACCATTTTAAGACACTTTTTAAAATGAAAAAACAAACATTGTTATGTGAAGCAAGGGACCTAAAAACACATTCGCTATGTGAAGCATAGTCCCAAACTTCGCTAAGCGAAAATCGCCCATAGGAAACATCGTTAAATGGTGCATATTATTTTCTTTAAAAAACCATCGTTATGTGAATTCATCGCTAAACGAGGCAATCGTTAAGCGAGGCACCACTGTATGTGCAAGTGGTGATAGCTCGTATGTAAGTTGGGCTGGTGACCAGACATTTTAAGAGGGGTTAATTTGAAAGCATGGGCAGGGAGAATACATGATATACTTCCCATTTGTAGCAGATTCCAAAGAAGCAACTGTGCCTATCTCAAGATACAGTGGTGCCCCACATAGCGACGATAATCCATTCCTGATAAATCGTCGCTATCCGGAAACGTCCTATACGGGACAAAAAACCCCATAGGAATGCATTAAACTCCATTTAATGTGTTCCTATGGGAGTGATAAACTCACCGCTAAGCGGGAATCCTCCATAGGGCCGCCATTTTCGCCGCCTCAGTAAGCGAGGAATTGGCGCGAAAATGCTGCAGGCGGCCGTTTTCTTGATCTGGTGCCCATTTTGGAACCGCCGATCAGCTGTTCTAAAACATCGTAATGCGATGTTTACCCTATTTAAACATTGCAATGCGATCTCAAAAAACACGTTGCTATGCGGATTTGTCATTAAACGGTGCGCTCGTTAAGCAAGGCACCACTGTAGTAGCAAAATTAAAGGGTGGAAAAAGAGAAACCAAGGGCAAAATATTGTGGCAGTAAAGATTGCAGAGTTTAGTGTGAACTTTCATAGATGGACATCCACTTCTTCAACTACCTATAGCACTTTCAGCTACATGTAGCAGACTGTCTTGTCTTCAGAATATTGCAGTTCACATAGGGACAGCAATAAGCAGCAGATGGGATTAGAACTCTCCCTCTCTACAATTTTACCTTTAACCACTGAAATAGAGCTTGAGTTGTATTCTTTCATACCTCTGTATGTGTGTGGGAGAGAGAATTTGCCCACAAAAAATTATTTCAGAACATTTCAAACTACCTAGACAATCTTTGAGTGATCTGAAAGTGACTGCCTTATCATAAAACAACACTACAGAACAAGACTTAAAAGAGAAACAGCTGAGATAAGGTGTATATGAGACCCACTCAAAAATATTAACATTCACATTAAAATATAGTAGTTAGCATTTAAGGTGCCAAAGTGTTTTTGTCTCTTGATGGATGTTGTTTATTTTGGGGTGTTTTGTCATTGCAATTTTGGGTTTTGGTCCAATTTACTTTTACTAAAAATTAAAAACACTTGCTGTCCCTATTCATTGTTCATGTATGAAAAATCAAACATGGGGGGAAACAGTTTTGTTTTTAGGTGACAGTTCTATACTTGGAGTACTGCATTCAGTACAGCTCAGTTCTATATAGATATGTAAAGGTACTCAAGATGTGTCCCTTTGTACTTGCTTATTCTGCATTCCACTTTTCATTTCAATGGCCATTTCTTAAGTTTGAAGATAACATTTTTAGAGCTGTGTGCAATCCCATTTTATTTCTTGCCACACAAAATAATGTGTCGGCAAATCTGACTATCTCACTGCTTATGATTGTCTAGATGATATAACAAGTAAACTTGAGTTCTAATACAGATCCTTGGTGAGTTCCATGGTTTATATTACTCTTTTTTCAGAAAGATATTCCATGACAATATGTGCTGTCACAGAGAATTCTTTGGTGGGTAATTTCTGGAGGTTTAAATAGGTCTAGATGAGGAAGGTCCACTGTACCATCCCTATCCACATTTTTGTTTTGGTATACAATGGGCTACACCTAACAGAATTTGTAGGTGTCTGCTTTCTATAATACTTTGTTTGCATTCAGTTCGAAGGAAAAACAGAAATAAAGTAATATATAGCATGTCAAAGAGAAGTGGTAGAAGTAGGAAGTGGAATAAAAAACTTGAATTGTGTATCTAATTTTTTTTAACTGCAGATTATAACAGAGCTGAATGAAACTGAAGGATCCCAGGATGCTGGATCTCCAAAAACACAGAGCTCGGTTACTCTAAGGAACCCAAAAGAGAAGAACTGTACTATGCAAGAAAGAGTTGAAAGTAAATTTACACTTAGGACATTAACTTTCTTGTGATTAGATACCTTAGTATAAGGGTGAACAGCCTGATTCAGGTGTTGATTATTACAAATAATTGGTACTTATATGGGACAGGTTGGACAAAAGGTAGTCAAACCTTTGGGCTATGCCTTTTAGGGAATTTTTGGAGCTCCCTCCTGCAGCCCCCGCATTCAAAGTACCTCCACACTAATTGCTTTGGCCAAAACAAAAAAGACCTCTGAGAACGGTAGCTTCTTTTTTTTTATTAATTATTTTATTTATTGATTTAATATATTACCAAACATACAACTAAAACTTCAACACAAAAAAGAAACACCCTCCTACTAAGCTAAACCCTCCCCCCCACAAGAAAAGAACAGTAGCTTCTGAGCCTTGATCAATGTCTGCCAAGAGTGCATGCAATTGAGTTGCTTCCTTTTTGTTTGTACATTTGTTTTTAATGGCTGTTTTTCAGCATTTCTAGGCTTAGTGGGGGTTGTAGTGGTGATTGGAGGTTTTAACGTGGGTTCCAAGCCCTCAGGCTTTGTGCACCACTGCTATAACCAAATGGTTCAGAGACAGCTGAGTCAAAGATTGCCCTAACAGTCTCAAAATAGGTGATAGAAGCTATATTTTTGCAAGCATGTGATATTCTTAAATCACGGTCATGTTCCCAGATAATTGTGCTTTGTCCAAACTGGTAAAGATTTCTAGGTCAGTGCCATCATTTTCTTTCAATCTCTATGGAGTCTTTCGGGATGGGACACTAAATCTTGACTATAACAATGAGTCCTTGGACCAGGACATGCTGAAATGTGCTGCCCGTATTACTGTTGAACAAATTAAAACTGCTGTTACAGAATGGTAGCAAGTCAAAGAATCATTATAGTACAAAATAGGGTTCTTGAAGAAAATGTCTGCAAATCTTAAGAACAGTTTTGAAATTATGCTGCATTACTATTCCATTTCCTACTAATGTTCCATGTCTGGTCTGTTTGTGTCAGGTAAGACTCCTGTGGATTATTTACCTGGAACAGAACTTTGTTACTCAGGCAGCCTGTCAAGATCTAGGAAAAGAAGAATAAACTCTACCACTCCAAGTAAGATGTAGGCTAACTTTACTAACTACCAATGCACAGAAATTAATTTAATTGAACACAATCAAAGTGTTTTTAAATCAAAGTGTAGCTATCAGTTACTGTGTCATCTTGTTGGTTGATGACTTAAGTCTGAGGCCTTGTTTCTTGAATTATGTTTAAAAGTGCAAAAGATTTTCTTGATAGAATAACTACAGAAGAATCTTGTTTCAGAAGTAGTGCTGTCCAGCAACCATTCTTAGCCTGGTTCAATATACAGTGGTGCCTCGCAAGACGAGTGCTCCGTTTTATGACAAAATCGCATAACGACGAAATTTTTGCGATCGCAAAACGATGCTTCCTATGGGGGAATTTCACTTTGCAATGATCGGTTCCCGAAGCAAAACGACAATTTTCCTACAGCTGATCGGCAGTTTCAAAATGGCCGCTGGGTAAAAAAAAATGGCCACCCACTGTTTTCTGGGACGGATTCCTTGCTGCACGGGCAGCGAAAATGGCCGCGCTATGAGTTTCAAGCCCATAGGAACGCATTAATCAGGTTTTAATGCGTTTCTATGGGCTTTTTAATTTCACTTTACGATGTTTTCGTTCTACAGCGATTTCGCTGGAATGAATTAACATCGTAATGCGAGGCACCACTGTATAAATGTTATTATTTCACCTAGTGACAAGCTATTTTCTCGCTATTTAACTATTTATTTTATTTATTTCTCTAAAACATTGTTCTTTTGACATCTCCTGAAGGACATTTGGAGGCTGGGATATATATTAATGTGAGAAGAACTTAGAAGCATTTTAAAAGCTTTTTGTGTTTGTGGGAGCTGTTATCTTTTCTTTGAAGTGCATTATTTTTATTTCTGTTATGTGAAATACCCTTTTAAAATAGATTTGGGCTGTAGCCCAGAATATCCCAAATAAAACATCCTGGAAGAAATTGGCCAGAAAAGTCCTTTTTCCACTTGTGGAAACCTCAAAACCCAGCAATTTTCCACCTTAGGAGACAAGATAGTCCAAGTCCACCCGAACCACAAAAACAAAGACGAAATGTGCCCATTCAGAGAAATCTGTTAATATTTTTTTAAAAAATTAAAGGGCCATTTATGGAGCCCATGGTAATATCTTAGGGCAAGAATTTGGTCCTCCTGTCTGTTGATGTTGCCCCTGTGCTTTGAAATAAACATACCTCTTTATTTTGATACCACTGTAATGAACACACAACTGTTCCTAAAGATATGTAATTTTTTTTCATAACTGACCAGACTATACTGTTTGAGTGATTGTCAGTGACAATCGTAGATGAAGCAGTGTGCAGTAACATTCATAAAAATGAAAATTTAAAAAAATGGGCACATAAGGAATCTGCAGTGCAGAGGCAACTCCCATTACACTGAATTCTTCATTTCTGCCAGTAGAAGTACATCATTGGATCTTGTCCTCTGAAATACTGGTTTGGAACAGGAAGTGAAGCACTTTATAAGCGCTGGTGCCAAAATCTGAGACCTTTCAATAAGTTTTGACACATTGGAATAACTTTGGAGAGCATGAATTTCTTACATGCACCAAATTAAGAGAATTGGTGTTCGGCTTGGTATAATATATTATGCCTCATAAGTTAAAGATATGACTTTTCGTGATCTTATGTAGTAGAAATTTAAAGAGAAAATAAGTATGTTAATCTCTTTTTTATGAACTTGCCCTTTTACTAAGAAATACTAGACTAATACAAAAGTTGGTAATAAAGTAATCATATATCTCAAAGACTTGTTGCATTTATAAAACCTTGGCAACAAATAGATATCAAGACTTCCTAGCTAAACCCACAGTAGGATCTTTAATGCAAGGAATGAGCAGAAAGGGATGGCACAACTGAAAAAGTAGAAAATACATTACTTGAGAATCAAAAGAAAAAGATAACAATATAACAATCCTAATGTAAAGTAAGGTAAAAGTTCCCCTTGACATTTAGTCCAGTTGTGTCTGACTCTAGGGGCGGTGCTCATCCCCTGTCTCCAAGCCGTAGAGCCAGCATTTGTCCATAGACAGTTTCCGTGGCCAGTGCGACTAGACACGGAATGTATGCCATTACCTTCCCACTATGGTGGTCCCTATTTATCTACTTGCATTTACATGCTTTCAAACTGCTAGGTTGGCGGGAGCTGAGCCAAGCGATGGGAGCTCACTCCGTCGCGTGGATTCGGTCATACGACGGCTGGTCTTCTGCCCTTGCATCACAGAGGCTTCTGCGGTTTAACCCGCAGTGCCACCACGTTCCCCGTAAAGTAATTGCTTTTTAATAAGGGAACAACAAAAGCCATACTAAATGACAGTGTACTTGCAACAGATAGTAGTATCATACCTCTTGGAATTTCATATAACAAAAAAGATACAAATTAGACCGCAGAAGATCTTCACTCATAAAGCTGACCATCCTGATTAAAAAAAGAGATGGGATCCATCTTTGCAAAATGATGAACCATAATTGGAATTGATTTAGGTCATCCATTTCTTCCAGGAAGCCTTGGTGCTGAAGAGGTACCGCACACTAATATCTTGCTTCATAATGGGAGACTGGATACTGGCTGATAATATTCCAGGATGAAGAATCTAAGAAGAGCTTTTTCAGCAGTTGTCTTACGACTGTCTCTTTGAGGCATGCTGAAAGCCTGTCTTGCTGCAAGGAGGCAATTACCAGTCCCTGTACCCAGTCATCCAGTTCTTACCTCGATGCATTGATAAGCTATGAAGGGCAAGGGTCCAGCGTACATGTGGTAGCTTTTACCTCTCCAAGAATCCTGTCCACATTTGTACAGACTGAAACTTATTCATTCTCTTGGGATAAGAAGAGGCAAAAGTTACATCCGCAGGACGTGTGTACTATAACATTGTAAGTCAGAGTGGATCTGAGTGACTTTGCCTGCAAAATACACAAATTTTTCACATGCAGGCTGTTGAGTGGTCAAAATCCTGTAGTATAGCAAGCATTTCACCACTCAAAAAGTTTTGCTGGAGATCTGAGCACAGACGGTACCGTCGGGTACTAGTTCCCCTCTGTTCAGCACTGGTTAGGCCCCATCTAGAGTGCTGTGTCCAGTTCTGGATGCTATACTTAGAGAAGGAGGCCAGCACTTCAAAAGAAAACTGGAGAACTGTCAGATCTGCTTTGACCTGGATTTCTGTATTGAGCAAGGGAATTTGACTCGATGGCCTTAGAGGTCCCTATGAATTTGTACAGATGTGCCCCTCAGGGAAAAGAATATTTGAACTGCATATCTTCTAGGTTCTAACTTGACACTCTAACCTCTGTATCTGATCATTCTCTTCAGATAATTATGGACTTTATATACTGGGGCATTAAGAAGTTTGTTTAGTAAACGTAAATCAGATTGATGTACTAAATCAAATTGTACTCTGTTCAGGGCATTGTTCAGTTTTCTGGAAAACACATTTCACTGATTGCCTTCATATTTAAACATGTTTTTGTCCTTGATGAGCACGAGGTTTTAAACAAAAGGTCAGACATATTACCATATTTTTCTGTTTATCACATGCACCCCTTTATAAGATCCCCCCCCCAATTTTCTATACCAAAAATTAAGAAAACTTAGCTTTGAGGATTCAGCCTCTGCGCTCAGAACATCGGATATTTTGAATTTCCGTTGAATCTCAACCTATAGATTCCACCTCCGAGGAGGTGTGTTCCAGTTGATTTGTTCAGGATCAGCTGACATCAGTTCCATAAGGGTCATAGTTGGAGGAAGCTAAGTCTCCTGACTGTATGAAACTAAGCCTCTTGGCTGAAGGAAGCCTGTTTACAGAGGCAAGGTATGTGCCGTTTTGTCCTCTCCTCAGCTATCAGCTTACTTCTGTGTAAAAGATGCCCCTCAATTTTTAATGTAATGAATTTAGGAAAAGGTAGCATCTTATAGATGGAAAAATATGGTATGTTGTCCAAAGACAACAAATGGCTCCACTCTGATTTAGATTTCCTTAGCCTGGACATGTGTTTATCTTTAATTGCTACTTTGTTGAGAGCTATAAACTGGAACAAACCAGAAAATAATCAGGAAGTATACTTAACACAAATATTAATAATGTACTCCTTTAATTTTGAAGACTTTAAGAAACTTCATGAGGCTCAATTCAAGAAAATGCAATCTATTGATGATTACATGGAAAATAAAAATAAAAGGATTCATAACTTCAACAATTCAGTGAACAAAACCAAGGTAAGTATTAACTTCCTCCACAGACATGCCTGAAAATCTAGTTTTCACTCAGTCAAGCTTTTACAAGGGGAGCATACAGATGCCTTGATCACAACAAAAAAATTCAGGCTGCCTTAAAGTGTTCCCTTCGACACCAGAATGCCCTGGATGAAGCTTTTTCATGCAAAATATTCTGACAACGTACTATGTCAGCCAAGTCCCCATTGCCCTGTATTGCCCTCCTTGAGAGTTGGCAATTTTTTTCCTTTTACCTTACAAAGGCAGAAGACCATCCTTATGGGGTTGTCCTGCCCAAATACCGTATTTAGGCAGACAATAAAACCTACCTTACAAAGGCAGAAGACCATCCTTATCATGGGGTTGTCCTGCCCAAATACTATATTTACCTTGCTAGGCAGACAATAAAATCCTTTTTGTGCTGTTGGATTCCTCTAGTGGTGAGGACAGCCCACAGTTTCCATATACATCCAGTCTTCACCTCAACAGGCAGCTACTTTATTTTTCTCTTCCCTTTGCTGCTTCTCCATTGGGCTGTTAAAAAAACCGTTTAGTTACCGTATTAAGTGCAGTAGGAGCTTCCAAAGATGGTTCAGTTCCTACAAGGACTAAATGTAGCCATAGGTTTTGTGTCATCTGCCAGAGCATATGCAGGTGCACTGGACTTCTAATTCTTCTTTCTCCCGCTTGCCCCACAGCAAAGTGCAGTACTGTATTATTATAAGCATTGTTATGGAACAGATATACAGCCCAGCTTCCAGTTTTGACACATGCTAGCTAAGAAGAAAAAACATCTGGAGATTTCTCAGAAGAAAATTCTAAATAGTAATTCCAAGATGAGGATACGTTATTTGTTAAAAGCTCATTTTAAGACAGATGGTCTGTTTAACTTCTCATGTTTTATTCCAAATTAGAAAGTAAATGCATTTCATATTCGCAGGTATGTTCCAGTGGATTTTTACTGAGTCCGCATCCTCAAAAGCATAAACTCTCTTCTACATGTACTCCCATAAACCTGAGGTGCACACCACATAATTCTCGCATTGTGAATAAAAATAGTTTATCTCAGAAATCAGCCTTCATCTCAACTGGCTTCTCTGCCACCAAAATGAATGTCAGGTAAAGAACAATATAAGCAGCACCAAGTGTTAAAATAAGTAGTTGGTACTTTACTTTAACCCACTGTCATGGTTGTAACTACATGTAATTTATTTTAATAATTTACAATATGATTGGTTTTATTTTATTTATTTTATGGTGAAATTTGTGTTTTTATTGTAAATGTGAGAACTTTGCAGTAGAAAGGTGGAGTATCGCTGTAACATAGGTTATAAGAATATTTAATTTGCTAATGTGAAGAATGTATCTCAAATGTATATACTGTTATTGAATTGAACACCATTAGTTCAAGACTATCTTGGTTTATTAATAGCCCAAATTCCTTTGGATATTAATATAAATGTATACATTGGCAGAAATGGGTGGGGGTTTTTTTTGTGTAAAACTAATGTAAGGACTAGCTGAAATTGAGCCGTTAAATCATGTAAATAATTGTTTTGTCAGATTCTCTGAATCTACAAAAGATAATGAACACAAACGCTCCCTTACCAAGACGCCATCTCGAAAATCTCCATTTCTGAACAGTTGTAATCCAGGCAGCCAGAAGAGCAACAAAGCTGTAACTAGGAAGAAATGCACAGGAAGTGCAACCAAGTATCCAATAGCAGAAGCCCCGACAAACATTGGTGAGAAGCTAACACAATGGCAGTTGTTTGTGCTTCCTTCTAGTAGGAAGAAGTTATTCTTGCAGAGTAAACCACTGATACAAGTTCTTTAGACGTCTGTTGCCATTAGTGTGATTTCACAGAGTCCACGAAGAAGAAAAAGAGGTTACTTACCTGTAACTTTGGTTCTTCGAGTGGTACTCTGTGAATTCACACGGCCCGCCCGTCCTCCCCACTTTCCGTCACGGCTGTCTCGCCTTTAGAGCAGCAGCGGAATTTGGGGAACTGAATGGCTGTTAGGGCGAGCGGACCATGAGGTCCTGGGGGCGGAGCCAAAAGTGTTACTTTAAGCTCTAGAATGTTCCGAGGCCTTCTGCGCAAGTGCAGATTAACCCATTAGTGTGATTTCACAGAGTACCACTCGAAGAACCAAAGTTACAGGTAAGTAACCTCTTTTTTTGTGTCATCTGCCAGAGCATATGCAGGTGCACTGGACTTCTAATTCTTCTTTCTCCCGCTTGAGCCACAGCAAAGTGCAGTACTGTATTATTATAAGCATTGTTATGGAACAGATATACAGCCCAGCTTCCAGTTTTGACACATGCTAGCTAAGAAGAAAAAACATCTGGAGATTTCTCAGAAGAAAATTCTAAATAGTAATTCCAAGATGAGGATACGTTATTTGTTAAAAGCTCATTTTAAGACAGATGGTCTGTTTAACTTCTCATGTTTTATTCCAAATTAGAAAGTAAATGCATTTCATATTCGCAGGTATGTTCCAGTGGATTTTTACTGAGTCCGCATCCTCAAAAGCATAAACTCTCTTCTACATGTACTCCCATAAACCTGAGGCGCACACCACATAATTCTCGCATTGTGAATAAAAATAGTTTATCTCAGAAATCAGCCTTCATCTCAACTGGCTTCTCTGCCACCAAAATGAATGTCAGGTAAAGAACAATATAAGCAGCACCAAGTGTTAAAATAAGTAGTTGGTACTTTACTTTAACCCACTGTCATGGTTGTAACTACATGTAATTTATTTTAATAATTTACAATATGATTGGTTTTATTTTATTTATTTTATGGTGAAATTTGTGTTTTTATTGTAAATGTGAGAACTTTGCAGTAGAAAGGTGGAGTATCGCTGTAACATAGGTTATAAGAATATTTAATTTGCTAATGTGAAGAATGTATCTCAAATGTATATACTGTTATTGAATTGAACACCATTAGTTCAAGACTATCTTGGTTTATTAATAGCCCAAATTCCTTTGGATATTAATATAAATGTATACATTGGCAGAAATGGGTGGGGGTTTTTTTTGTGTAAAACTAATGTAAGGACTAGCTGAAATTGAGCCGTTAAATCATGTAAATAATTGTTTTGTCAGATTCTCTGAATCTACAAAAGATAATGAACATAAACGCTCCCTTACCAAGACGCCATCTCGAAAATCTCCATTTCTGAACAGTTGTAATCCAGGCAGCCAGAAGAGCAACAAAGCTGTAACTAGGAAGAAATGCACAGGAAGTGCAACCAAGTATCCAATAGCAGAAGCCCCGACAAACATTGGTGAGAAGCTAACACAATGGCAGTTGTTTGTGCTTCCTTCTAGTAGGAAGAAGTTATTCTTGCAGAGTAAACCACTGATACAAGTTCTTTAGACGTCTGTTGCAGACAGAAAGGATGAGGTTTCACCCTTAATGTTTACATCAGTGATTCCCAACCTTTGGTCCCAATATGGTTTTGGACTGTAACTCCCAGAAATCCTGGCCAGCTAGTGAAAAAGGCTTCTGGGAGTTTTAATTCAGGAACATCTGGAGACTACTGATGCAAAGGCACTGATATGCCTCTCTGGAGATTCAGAGTGGGAACACTTTCTTCCTTTATTTTCCCTTGCCTTTCTTGAAACAGTTTTCCTTAATTCCTCTATTCTAACCCTTGTTTGTCTGCATTGTTATAGAAAACAGTTCTTCAAAGCTTAACGGAAAAGTATTAAGGGGTTTATTGTCAAGGTTCTGCTTAGAGATTATGGCAGAACTGCAGTTCACAGTAGTGGTGTTTTTTTAAGCAGTAAATAGAGTGACTTTTTAAAAAATACAACTCTGCTTTAGTTCCATAAAAATAGGCAAGATGGTCTTTTGGGGAAGTAAGATGTGGAAAGTCTTCACTACAATCCAACTTAACTTTTTCACTATTTTTCCAACTCAAGTATTTTTGTGCAAAGCTCCTTCAAGCATTTGTGAATTTAACTTGTATCTTTTGGTCACATGTTCTTGCTTTCTTAGTAATGATGATCAATACTCTTATTTGTTCCTTAAAGGTGTTACCCCCTCCAAGGTCATCCCTGGAACTCCAGCCCCTCTAAACACCAAGAAGCCAGTGTTTGATCTGCAAGCAAGTCTATCAAGGCCCCTTAATTATCAGCCCCACAAAGGTAATGAAATCATTTAGAAAGAAACAGCCACTAGAACTGTGTTCCCCAAACTTTTTCGAGTCATGACCCCCTTTTTATAATAGTCAAGTAACTCTGTGACCCCTGTGCCATGTTTAGTGACCCTCATGGGTTAAATTTTATTAAACTCAGTAGGATTGAGGTCCAAGTAATCCTGCACAGGATTGGGCTACTAAGCGGCATGCTAATCCTCCAGCTCCCATGAGACTTTTTTTCTGAGGAAATGTGTTGGAGTTTGGCTTGTGATTTTGCTGCATGGTAGGAAAGAGTTGTGGCATACAGCTCTGCTCTCACCTGTCCGTCACAGCTGGGCAGGGGAACCTCAGCCAAAGAGAGGACGGAGGGTGATGCAGAAGGGGGAGGAGCTGGATTATATAAAGTGTGTGTGTGATGTGTGAAAAGAAAAGAGTTTTTGAGAGTTTAGAGAGATGAGAGAAATTGTTTGAGAGAGTGAGATCTGTCAGAGTCAGTGGGGGAAAAGTCTGTGTGAGGTATATTAAATGAGAAACTTGATTTACAACTTGATTTAATACCTGTGAGTTACTCCTTTTCATTTTGTTAAATCAATAAACAACGTTTTGTTTGAAAGAAACACTTGTCCTTTTTGAGTATTAAGGATAGGTTGATGGCAGCAGTTTGAAGAAGAGTAGTGAGCACTCTTGGAGGCCTGTATTGGTAGAGGCTTCAGAGTGGCGCGCTACAAGAGTGGAGGTGTGTGTGTATATGTGTGCCTACTTTGACTACATATGTTGCACAATTCAAGATTTGAACTTTTCCCTTCTTTGCTAACAAGGAGTTAGAAAGAAAGACACGCATACTCACATGCACAAATTACTTCTCTTTGCACTCCAGATTATAAACAATCCCCGACTGAGGTGGGTGTTAGGAAACCAGAAGTGGGCAGGATTTGGGGGTGGGTGGGCAGGGGGGAGCAACTTGCTACAAAGGCAGCACCAGTAAGGAATTAAGGCAAAATTCCCCTGGCAGATGCCGGCTGGCACTGCAGTGCACCCTTTGCCAACACCAAAGCTGGTCAGCAACCCAGGGAGTGTGATGAAAGTTTCCCCCTCCATAAAAAGAAAAAGCAGGAAAGGGAAAGGTCATGGTGGCAGCTCATACGCTGATGCCTTTGTCCCCTGGCTGGAAATAAACAGCATTAAATGCATTGGGCTGTAGTTCAAAGTGTACACATATAAGAATCAGTTTAAAATGATTGCAACTAAAAATGAATGCAACAAACCCCCAGAAAACAATTTGTGACCCCTGGAACCAGTGCACCAGAGAATAGATGATGGTAGTGAAATGTTTTAAATTTGTTTGTTACATACTGCACAGCAGTAAAATGTTTTTCTCCCTAAAGTGGATCTAATGTTCATTGAACTCTAGAGTAGACCAGGTTTTAAAAGGGCTTACTTTTGAATCTGAGAAGCTGTTAGAGCCATCACCACAGCATGACTGCTTTAGGGCCTACTTTATTATACAGTAGCATTTCTTAGAAGCTGAACTTAAGGTAAAGGGTAGAATTGAGACCCCGATACTACATCATGTATTATTTGATATCACAAAATGTAAAGTACCTACATATTTCTCAGAAGGTATTCTGTACTACTTTATAGTAGCAGATGAGTTCGAGAGAAAACAAGGCTGGACTTACATGAAGTTTCTTTTCTGCAATGAACAGAGAGTAAAGTGGATTAATCTTCCTGTTTGTTTCATGAGGGAGAGCCAAATCTATCATTCTGGTTTCAGCTACCTGTCTTTGAGAGAAACCATTCTCATTACTGTAATACATACATTTTGATTATAAGTAAAAGTAAAAAAAAAGAGCAGGAGTCAACTTAGTGATACCATGGTAGTTCACCATTGTGTGGGGTAGATCCACTGTAGGAATGGAATCTTCACAATAAGTCCAGTCTTCCTTTTTGTCTGTTAAAGGAGGGTCACCTTGTGTGGTGTAATGGATAGAGTGATGGACTGGTATTTATTTATTTTTTTATTATTTTATTTATATCCCGCCTATCTAGTCACTTAAGACCACTCTAGGCGGTACTCGGAAGATCTGGGTTTGAACTAGTAAAACCACTCTTTAAATCTCATCTTGCCTCACTCCTACAAGGCCTTTAAATCAGTTCTGATTTTATGGCATATAAGAACAAGGGAGTGTAGTCTACTCAGAGCTTGAAGGCAGCTCTAAGTAAGGCAAACAGATCACAAAAGTCAAAGGTAATGGCCAAATAGCTATCCTTACAAAGACAGCAAAAGCAGTGCTTTGAATTATCTTGCTTTCTAGAGCCAAGACTGGACTAGAACTGGGAGGGGTCACTGTCAGGTGTGGAGGGGTAGCTGAAATTTGATTTGGCCTTGCATTATAGAGCAAGTAGGACAAGTAACCCGCACTAAACTATCCTCTTCCACTGCAAGAAAGATGCATACAGTATATTGAATCATGGCACCTTTCCTTTTTATTTCAATACAGGAAAACTGAAACCTTGGGGCAAATCAAAGGAGAATCACCAGGGCACATGTTCCCACAGGAGAAGCTATAAACAGCCACTTCTTCAGAGCAGGCAAGTATGACTTAACATTTGCCATGTAGTCCAAAAGGCACTGTCAAGGGTTACTCTGTCATAGCTTTCCCTCACTAAGTAAAAATGTTCAATTCACTCTAAGGTATGTGCTTTGGTTTTCATAAGGGAGCAGAATGATGTTTGAATAACATTACTAGTCACTATGATTAGAATAGGCATCTTAATGCAGAGTGTAAATCCATACGCTCGTTTAGCAGATCTGGCCATCTCATGCCTGCAGAGAAAAGGAACGTGGACATAAACTGTGCACATAGAGCTTCCCTGTAGAGGAAAGGGATACAGGCCATTATGTAGACAAAGGTCTGCAGATGAGGCCCCTTCTCATGACTGTTCCAAGGAATAGGGCTTTGGATATGTGAGGGAATACAACTGAATTCCCTTCATGTTAGAAAACACTGAGAGCTCTGTGGTGATGGGAAGTGTCCTAAGACAACCCTCTTGGCCAGAAGAAAGGGCAAGTTATGCTTTCTTTCAAAAGAATAACAGGATAATTTTCTTAAGTTATCAATTAGCCAGTACAAATGGCAAAAGAAACTTGCAGCAAAGTTTTCTGATAGCTTTATTGTACATTTCTTACAGTTTGAAGAATATATCCTAAAGTGGATTTATCTTCTCACTTTTTCTAGAAAAAAGCATATTTATATCTGAAAAAAAAAATCTACCTTCTTAGATGGGAAAGCATTCCCAGTTCCAATCCTGTCTTGCTTCAGAATACAAGGAGCTATAGAGCTCTAATTATCTACTCAACGATAGTGAAGGCCCTCATAGTTTGTTGTTCTAGGTAGAATATGTAAATATTAATTTTCTAGGCTAATATAGAGAAGGGTCTTTCCCCCTCCCCCCACCTTGCCAAAAACTGTGAATTCAGTCACACTGTTGTATCTGGAATTTAACTATGTGGCTGAGGACAGCTTTCAGGAACAGCTCTTAGATTTTTATTGGTTCAGAAATTTTTACCAATCAATTACCAATCAAGTCATTTTCTACTCAGATTTTGAAAAGTGTGTTATAAAATCAGGGTATAAATTCCACAAATTAAATCACAGATACTTGAACTGTGTCTTTCACAAGGATGGCATTTGGTAAAACAACAACAGATTTTTGATTTAAAGAGTCATTACAATGAACAAGAATATTAGCAAGTTGGCTTTTTAAATTATTAAATAGCACTGATGCATAAATAACCCAGTTCAATGTTATTGCCTTTCAGAGAAGAGAGGCGGGAAAAACATGCATGGGGGAGAAAACAGAGAAAAGACCAGGTGCTTGAAACACGGAGAGGACTTGCTGTAATTTAAATTTAATCCCCAAAATGCTTTGTAAATAACTTTTCTTGTAAATAGTTTTTACTTGTTTTCTGTGGAGTGATGTGCATATATTGACACTCTATCTTTCCTATACACAACTATCTTAATAAGAATATAGTGTATTAATGCTACGGAATTTATTTTGCAACTTTAAGAGCTAGAATTTCTAAAGCCTTGTAAATAGCTTCAGAACTACATTTGTCACCTTTTATTCTCTGTTTTGAAAATGACAGTTTAACAAATGTATTTTAACTAAATCCTGGATTGTCTAGACCTAACATTTTCCTCCAAAAGTACAGACTGAAAAATCTTTTGATGTAGTGGACAATAAAAATAAAACAGAAATATTTAGGATTCACTTGATTGACAGTTCATTTATGTTTTAATTTACTGGCAGAGCTGTGTAGTAATTAACATCCAGTTCTGTCATCAGCTGTTTGCTGCCATGAGCACCCCAAACCAGCACTGAAGTTTAACAAATACTCTCCTCCTTATGTAGTGGGCAGCTGTATACTTTATATAGTCAACTCTTTTTGCACATGTTCTGCAGTAATTTTCTTATGCACTCTGACCTGCAGGAATCACTAAATTTCATATAACTGAAAAGCAGGCTAATTTCATCTACACAGGAATGTTGTGGTGATGTTTCTGGGTTGGATCTGCAAAGAGCAGAGAGGAGGCTTGGCAAACGAGTTAACTCTTCCAACTTGAGAAGGCAGAACTCAAGGCATAATCTCTAATTCTGACTGAAGAGGAGGAAACCTCGTCCAGCAGGAAACATTCCTGCCACTGTGCTCCCATGCCTACTTTGAGAATGCAGCCTTTGCATCTAGTGCTTTGACTCACTGCTGCCTTTCTCTCCTCATCCATGCTTTGTAGACTCAGCACCAGGATACTAATTTGAAAAGCAACTACATGAACTCTACCCAGCACAGCCACCTTGGGTTACTGTTTGCTTCCCAACCAATGCAGGTACAGGAAATAGACCACCATGCTTTTTGTGACTGGATGTGAGATTCATCCAGTCCTGCTTTTTGCATGATGTTATTCTGCAGTTAAATAAGAAGGGGGACAATATACAGCCTTGTCGTACTCCTTTCCCAATTTTGAACCAGTCAGTTGTTCCATATCCAGTTCTAACTCTTGCTTCCTGTCCCACGTATAGATTTCTCAGAAGATAGATAAGGTGGTCAGGCACTCCCATTTCTTTTAAGAACTTGCCATAGTTTGCCATAGAACTTTAAATATTTGGATCATTCAGTGTTGTCTGATTACATTATACATTTTCACCACTTTCCCCCCAGATGCGTTTTTCTTTTCCTCAGTTTCATTATCGTATCTAGACAAGCACACCGTGGTTCTGGCAGCTGAAGAAGGCCAATTCCATGCTAGGGCTCATTAAAAAGGGGATGGAAAATAAAACAGCCAACATTTTTTGTACAATTTTGCCATTGTACAAAATACTGATAAGGCTGCACCTGGAGTATTGCATAGAGTTCTGATCGCTGCACCTCTAAAAAGACATTGTGGAACTGGAAAAGGTGCAGAAGAGAGTGACTAAAATGATGACTGGGCTGGGGTGTGAGGACGAATCAGAGAGTGAGCCTAGCACTCAAGCACCTAGTGTAGAACAAACAAGGGAAACGCTAAGATCAGAATGGGAAATAGGGAGAGAATAAGGGAAAGAGCAAGAGACAGAGACACGCGCTGGAGAAAAGGAAGATGATCACGCGGAAGAGATAGGGTTGATGCGAGACAGAGAAAGCCACGAGAGGAAAGGACAGTTAGTTCTGTTAGAAACAGCTGAGGCAGGAGAGAAGGAGGAGTTAGGAGATGTGAGGGAAAAGATTGATGTGTTTCTGACAACCGAAGAATATGCTGAGTCTAAAGAGACTGAGAAAGTAACTGTGTTTAAGGAAGACATAACAAAGAAACTAGACAAAGGAGTTCAAGTATTTTCTGTGCCTAGGAAAAGATCCACAATGAACATAGATGAAGAAGACAAGGAGAAACTGGTTAAAGATAAAGTAAGACCCATAATACCAGGACTGAGTCAGGAAGAATGGACGGTCCTGGTGTACCCCAAGGGCAGGGGTCCGGAGCGGCAGGGACACCAAGTAGATCCAGCCATAGTGAAAGAGAAGCTGACAGAGAGAATGGGCCCACCACCCGTGTTGCGGGACCCTGTGTGCGGTTCACAGCGGGTACCTGAGACCACCAACCGAACAGGAGATGTCGGCAAAAACTTATTACTGAAATATAATAGCAACGAAAAGTCCCTTATGTGGTTTTGGGAGAGTTCTCCCCAATTGTCGTTGGACAGTTCTATTGAGTTAAATAAGGAAGAAACTACAAGTTATGTTAATAAAAGTTCTTTTATTAATAATTCTGATTCGTATTTTGTATTGCCAGAAGATGAACAGCCAAAGGTAAACACCGAACCTGCTTACAGGGGAACAGTGGACAGACTAGATTTTCCTGTTGTAGATCTCTGTGCATCCTGAATAAACTTCAGAATCCTTAAATGTCACCAAATTTGAGACAATAGCCTGGGTGATGAACACAGTTTTCCCTCAGCCTATGGACTTGTGTTATGCATATCCTCCTGGTAGCTCTCCTATCCAGGTTGCTGTAAAACAATAACATTGGTTCTCAACACCCCAAAATGACCAAAGAAACTGGTTTTCAGACATGCTGGACCTCTGTCTGCAACTCCTGGCCTCTCCTTTTCCAGACCTCCTGTCTCAGAGTGTGGCATCCCACCTGGACTTACATTAGTTGCAATATTTGAAGGCTGGCCAGCAAAGTTGTTTGGACAGCAATATGAGGGTAGCAGCAATCTTCGCAGTTTATAACAAACCAAATCAGGTGATTTCTGAGACAGCTTGATGTACCTTTTGTCACTGGAGTTACAAATAAGGGCTGTGCCCCGGGGAGAACAGAGGCTAAAGAAGTTCTAGCCTTCCTATACTCTGGCGTGGCTTGTGTGCTTCCACAGTAAGGTGGCTCATTCTTCACTGGGTACCCATGCTGATGTCAAAGCTTCCTCTATTGTCTCCATTAATTTGTACGAGGTTTGTTTCTTGGTACTTAGTTTGATTCTTGAGGCTTTGACTAAACACAATTTGAGCCACTGAGAAGGGCTTGGCAGACCTTATTTTTTATTACCTCAGTGAGATGCACCTCTGAGACTGGAGCTCTGTGAGTTAGAAGGAATTTTGTGTGTATGTACGGATGAGTCCATCATTTTGCATCAAGATCGTTTTTTTCAGATATAAGACCTTCTGTTCAGAATAGTCAGGGAACAATCCTTTTTTGTCTGGATTCCAAGTAGGCTAATGAGCATCGGCAACACAGATTAGAAATGTGTCAAGCAATCAAAACGTATATATTTTGTAATAATGGCATAAAGCTGAAAATTTTTCTTTTTACCTTTTTTCACACTGCTGTAATAGGGAGGAAGGTGTCCTCAACAACACTGTCAAGGTAACTTAAATTCTGCATGTCTTTCTGCTATGAACTAAGGTTGAGGCTGTGCCAGAAGGAATCTTAGTGCATTCTACCCAAAGTGCAGCAACATTTGCTGGATCTGATATCACAGTTCCTTTGAGAGGGTCTAATGACCTTTGTGATGTATTTGCCTTGCCTGGGAGCATTTTTAGGCAGAGTGCTTCAGAAAATAATGGTTTGATGTCAACAAGCTCCTCAGCTAGCAAGTTTCTACACTAAAGACCGCTTTGGCCATGTCTTACTCTAGATTACCCTTCTCCATTGTATGAAAATAGTTGGACTTATAATGAAGTTTTCTACTTCTGCACTGGATGGAGCGTAGCCTATTCTATCCAGCATCAACTTACTGTGGGGGTTGCACTCAGATCAGCAAAGTTCAGAAATTTTTAATTTATATTTGTTGGCCCTACCTCATTGAGCAAGCAGGGGAAAGAACTCTACACACAAACTCTTGCGGGAAACTCATAATGAATCCAACCCTTCTGCTACATTTACAAGTCAGCAGTATAAAGCTTCAGGAAGTGTGTAAGAAATATTTTTTACTAGTATATATAGAGAAGAGTAAATTTATTTGTTATAAAATCTTGATATAATAAACACTACCTACAGCACAGTAAGGAATTCTGGAACAGCTCACTCCCTCTTCTTAGCATTAACACTAAATGTAAATAAAATATTACAATGGACAGCAAGGCGTAAGAAGTAAATCAAGTCCAGGTTTTGACAAATCTCCATGTCTTTGTATGCCCTGTTCAGATCTTCCTTCTAATATCCCTACCACATGAGAAAATGGGGGGGGGTACTTTCCCATTTTTGGAAATTTTAATGAAACAGATCCAGAGGCATGCTCTTCCCCCACACCAAAATCAGGGAGTGGACATCTGGGTATATCCAATTTTGTTTTTATATTTTCTAACATTTTTGGTGCCAGTTCACCCATCACAGGTGCTGGGGATAATATCTGGCCCACCTCCCATAAAGATTATCCACCAATGGTCCGGTTCCAGGGTGGATTTGTTTTAAATCTTCCTCAGACTCTGTTGATTTAATTGATGGCACAGTGATTAAATTGCAGTACTGCAGCCAAAACTCTGCTCATGACTGGCGTTCAATCCCAGGTACCCAGCTTGAGGTTCACTCAGCCTTCCAGGATCATTAAACGGAGTACAGTGGACCCTCTACTTACGGAATTAATCCGTATTGGAACGGTGGCTGCAGGTCGAAAAGTCTGTAGGTCAAGGCTCCATTGACCTACAATGCACTGAAAACTAATCCCGTACCCAGCCGTTTTTGTTCCATTTCGGTTTTTTTCTGGTCTGTAGGATGATTCTCTGGCTGCAAGTCGAACCTAAATTTTGCGGCCAGAGAAGTCTGTAACTCGAAAAGTCTGTAAGTGGAGCCGTCTGTAAATCGAGGGTCCACTGTACCCAGCTTGCTTGGAGGGGGGCACAATGTGTAGTCTGAATAATTAAATTGTAAACAACCCAGAAAGTGTTTTAAGTACAGTGGTGCCTCACAAGATGATTGCCTCACGGGACGATTAATCTGCAAGATGATGGGGTTTTGCAATCGCTGTTGCACTTCGCAAGACGGTTTTTCCTATGGATGATTTTTGCAAGACGATGTTTGGGTCTATGCTTTTCAAGACTTTTTTTTTAGACCAATGCTTCACAAGACGGTTTCCCCCCCATTGGAACGCATTAAATAGATTTCAATGCATTCCAATGGGGAATCGCGTTTCGCAAGACGATGTTTTCTATGGACGAGTTTTGAAAGACAATTATTTTTTCTCCATTGGAACGCATTAAATAGATTTCAATGCATTCCAATGGGGAACTGTGTTTCGCAAGACAATGTTTTCACAAGACAGCGATTTTCGCGGAATTAACATTGTCTTGCGAGGCACCACTGTACTATGGTGCGGTATATAAGCAGCATCCTTTAAATATATATATATTAATTAAGATTTTTAAACAATTTAAATTAAAAAAATTAAACTTTAAATCAATTTGATTTTTAAAAAATCATTGATTTTTATCCACCCTTGTTGTTACATAAAGAAACAAAAAGTGTTAAGTTCTACAACACGAAAATCACCACAATCATCTTTAATGTGTGAAAGGCAAGCCAGTGTGTACATATACATAAACATGGTCATCTTTGTTATCTTCTGACATGTCTTTATTATACCTTAAAGCAGCTGAGCTAAACAGAGCCCCATCTCATAGGGAAGGGCTGTGCTAACCCGTTTTTGTAGGCTGAGACTTCAGTCCTCCTTCTGCTGTTTGAATTCTAGTTGATCATCTCACTCCTCCGTTGTGACAATAAATATACTGAGGCAGTAATTACACAGATACAATACATTCTACTTGGGATTCTTGGGATTCTTTTCATATAGCTCATAGGCACAATCCTCAGAATGTGCTCCATCTCTGATCAAACCAATGTAGTCAATCTCTAGCTGGAATGGACCATCTACTTTGTCAGCCAGAGTGAATCCTAAAGTGCTGATCTGTAAAACACAAAAACACATTATTTATTTTCTAATAAAGCTTACAAGTATTTTCTACAGCTGTAAGTATTACATTTTAAACTATTTGTATATTTTTGTTCAATTTAGCTCCATTTAGGAGAAGAGGCATCAATTACTGTAATTAGAGGGTGAAGAGGGCATGGCTGCTTTATGCATAATAAAAAATATATATTAAGGCTACAACCCCAATCCTTTAAGTGGAACTAAGCTCATTAAATTCAGTGGGCCTTATTCAGCCAGTCTCACCCTGTAATCCACTGTTTACATGGAAGAATTGCCTTATGCAAAAGAAAGCGACCTTCCATTGGTACAAGACATCTCAGGATCCAGAGTTATTTCCATATCAGTACTATCTCAAGAAACTGGAGATCATGGAATCCATCTTGGAAAATCAGGCTTCTTTGTGTGTGCCTAGGACAGTTGGCTCAGAATGTTGATGGTCAGTAAAATTTAGGAGCTTGCACGTGCAGCTTATCAGAAAGAGGCCTTCAAGACCAAGGCAGTTACTACACCAACTGAGAGATGATTTTAGATGTGGAGAAAGGAAGGAAAGAGAAAGTGCTCTGGTCTTCTTGAACATCTGAAGGAACTCAACTGGTGGACTACTTGGAAAGGTTGAGAACTGGTTGTTTAATGAACAAAAAGAAGCTAAAAATTAGTTAGCTTTCCATGATAATTAATTTTTTTCAGCCTATGTACCAAGCCAAATAAGAAATTATTTGAGTTTAAAAAAGAAAGCAGAAGGGGGAGATGAGGGGGGTGCAGAGTGTGTGGCAGCCTTTTGTTTAAAGAGTTGGGTGAGAAATTCCAAAGTGCTGGCTGAGGAGGGGTTTCAAGCCACACACTCCCTTCACAGGCTTTTTGCAGACTGGATCTATTTCCATCTAAGAAGCTAAACTTAGTCCCAACAATGGTCATGGAACTATGGGATCTTAATAAAAACATGTAATTTTTAAAAATTATCCACAAGGAATTTAGTGCATGGCCTGAAGAAGATGAATCATCAGTGAAAACTAGCTGTTGTTTGGTTGTTTTTAATGGTCTAATAAATAGTGCTGTTCCTGCATTTGTATTTTCTGGTGTATTCTCTTGATTGCCTTAAGCCTTATTTCAACTATATTTTTGATCCAACTGGTTTTTGAAAACTTTTGATTCTTTTTGCTTTATTATTTTCTCACTCTCTTTACAAAAATATGAAAACTGCTCCAAGCATCTGGGTTTTGGCCCAGAGGGTTTGTGAAACCAATTCCAGGTCTTGTCTTGATTATCTACCTGGAATTCACATACTTTTGTGGGCAGCTTTACCTTGCAAGACAGGGACGTGGTGGTGCTGCGAGTTAAACCACAGAAGCCTCTGTGCTGCAAGATTGGAAGACCAGCAGTAATAAGATCGAATCCATGCGACGGAGTTAGCTCCCATCACTTGTCCACCTCCTGCCAACCTAGCAGTTCAAAAGCATGTAAATGCGAGTAGACAAATAGATACCACCATGGTGGGAAGGTAACGGCATTCCGTGTCTAGTCATGCTGGCCACATGACTACGGAAACTGTCTACAAACACTAGCTCTACGGCTTGGAAATGGGGATGAGCACCACCCTAGAGTCAGACACGAGAGGACTAAATGTCGAGGGGAACCTTTACCTACCTTGCAAGGTGGGCACAAATGGCTCTAAGTGGATTTTGGACTCCCTGAAAGCATTGCTAAGTCTAGGAAGATGGGTGTTCAAAGGCACAGGTACCAAGCTAGTTCTGTAGTCCTAACCATAACTCACTCCACTGGGTTCATCCATCTCAAGATAAACAGGGTAGTATGGCTAACTGGCTATAACAGGGCCCCCAGATCAAAGTGTTATTCTTACATTATCCATTACTCAAAGTCTTATCTTGCATTTATAACACTTTCTAACTCATTTCTAATTTTCCACTGCCACTAAACGTTTTTGGTAAGAAGAGTGATTTATAACACTCCACATCCTTCTCCTTGAGACATTTGTTTGCACCTGATATTTCTGGAGAATACAAAAGATCCCATAAGTCTAAAGTCTGCCTACACAGGCACTAGTAGGTCTTCTCTATCTGACATAGAAAACTGGGGAGTCCTTGAACAATTGTGAGGAACAGTCATGCCACACTGGATAACACCCATAGATAAACAGGAGCATGCCTTTTTGTACAAAGTTTAATGCTTCTGGGAGTTTACATACAATCTCCTGAGGGTAGCTCACTACCCACTGGAGAATGAAATCCCAGGGGAATAAAAGACCTCACAATTTGGCTAGGCTCAAAAGCCAGCCCTTATATGTGGCTGACACAAATGCTCCCTGCAATCCTTTGGCATATGTGAAGAAGCCAGTAGTGGGATAACTGGTTACTTAGAGAAAATATAAGAAAAAAGCTGATGTTTGTTTCTCTGAAGTTGTTTCAGCTTCAGGCTCCTGGACGAATAGAATCATAGAATCACGGAGTTGGAAGAGACCATAGGGGCCATCGAGTCCAACCCCTGCCATGTGGGAAATCCATCAAAGCACTCCCAAAAGATGGCCATCCAGACTCTGCTTAAACACCTCCAAAGGAGGAGACTCCATCAGACTCCGAGGCAGCATCTTCCACTGCCAACTAGCTCTGACTGTCAGGAAGCTCTTCCTGAGATTCAAGTGGAATCTTTTTTCTTGTAGTTTGAAACCATTGCTCCTTGTCCTAGTGTCTGGAGCCGTGGAAAACAAACCTGTCCCTTCATCAACATGACATCCCTTCAAATATTTAAACATGGCTATCATGTCCCCTCTTAACCTTCTTTTTGTAAGGCTAAACAGTCCCAGCTCCCTAAGCCATTCCTCATAAGACATGGCTTCCAGAACTTTAACCATTTTGGTTGCCCTCCTCTAGACACGTTCCAGGTTGTCAACATCCTTCTTGAATTGAGGTGCCCAGAAATGGACACAATACTCCAGGTGAGGTCTGACCAAAGCAGAATAGAGTGGTACTATAATTTCCCTTGATCTAGACACTATAATCCTATTGATGCAACCAAGAATTGCATTGGCTTTCTTGGCAGCCGCATCACACTGCTGACTCATGTGTTAAGAGTATATCTGCTATACTTTGAAACTGCGTACACTTTACATAATGTCTTCCTTACGTATTTTGCTTACATGATTTTACTTCGTATGTTCAAGACTTTAATTTACAATATAGTGACCTGTTCTATTACAAATATCTTGACATCTTCAGTTTGTGGTCTACCAAGACTCCTAGATCCCTTTCACAGGTACTGTTGTCTAGCCAGGAGTCTTCCCTCCTACATCTGTGCAATTAATTTTTTCTGCCTAGTTGTAGGATCTTACATTTCTCCCTGTTGAAATTCATTTTGTTAGTTTTGGCCCAGGACTCTAATCTGTCAAGGTCATTTTGAATTTTCATCCTGTCCTCTGGGGAATTAGCAACCCCTCCCAATTTGGTATCATCTGCAAATTTAATCAGCAGACTCTCTATCCCTTCATCCAACTCATTGATAAAAATGTTGAATAGCACAGGGCCCAGAGCACAACCCTGAGGCACCCCACTAGTTAGCTCTCTCCAGGATGAAGAGAAGCCATTGGTGAGCACCCTTTGGGTTTGGTCAGTCAACCAATTACAAAGCCACTGAAGAGTAGCACTGTCAAACCCACATTTTAATAGCTTCCTTGCAAGGATATAATGGGGAACGTTGTCAAAGGCATTACTGAAACCAAGATATGCTACATCCACAGTGTTCCTTTAACAAATAAGCCTGAAACTCTATCAAAAAAAAGAGATCAGATTAGTCTGGCATGACTTGTTTTTGAGAAACCCGTGTTGACTTTTAGCGATGACAACATTGCTTTCCAAGTAATAACAAACTGTCTGTTTAATGATCTGCTCTAGAATTTTTCTGGGAATTGATGTCAGGCTGACTGGGCAATAATTATTTGGGTGTTCTTTCCCCCCTTTTTGAAGATAGGGACAACATTTGTCCTCCTCCGATCTGTGGGGACTTCTGTTCTCCAAGAATTCGCAAATATTATTGCCAATGGTTCTGAAATTACTTCTGCCAGTTCTTTTAATATCCCTGGATGTAATTCATCTGGTCTTGGAAACTTGAATTAATTTAGAGTAGCCAGGTATTCCTGTACTACTTCTCTACCTATCTCAATGCCCTTGGTCCATTTCAGTCCAGGTTTAGGCTGCATCATGGCATGGAGACAGCACTGGTCGCCCTGCAAGATGACTTCTTGAGGGAGGCTGACAGGGGCAGAAGGTCCTTGCTGATCCTCCTCAACCTTTCAGCGGCCTTTGATGTCATCAACCATGATATCCTCCTTGGGAGGCTCTCGGGGTTGGCGATCGGTGGTAACGCCTTGGCCTGGCTCCGATCCTTCCTGGAGGACCGTCCTCAGAGAGTTCACCTTGGGGAGATGTTGTCTGCTCTGTGAACTCTCAATTGTGGAGTCCCGCGGGGTCAATCATCTCCCCAGTGCTATTTAATATCTATATGAGGCTGCTGGGGAAGACCATCAGGAGTTTTGCAGCTTTGTGTCACCAATAAGCAGATGCCACTCAGCTCTACCTCTCCTTCCACTCTTCTGCAGTGGATACTCTTGCCTGGGATGTGGTGCCTGGATGGATAATCTTGCCTGGGATGTGGTGCCTGGATGGATGAGAGACAACAGACCGCTATTGAACCCAGACAAGACAGAAATCCTAAGGGTGGGGGCCCCTAGTGTCTGTGGTCTGGGTGCCTCCCTTTCTTTTGTAGGGGGGCACTCTTTCCATGAAGGATGAGGTTCGTAGCTTGGGCGTGCTTTTGGACCCATCTCTATCAAGGACATCTCAGATAGCGTCTGTGGTATAATCCCCTTATTTCCATCTAAAGTGGATTGCCCAGCTAGATCCCTATCTTGATACCAGGTGGTATAATCCCCTTATTTCCATCTAAAGTAGATTGCCCAGCTAGATCCCTATCTTGACACCAGGTCCCTCACCACGCTGGTCCATGCACTGGTAGTCTCGTGATTAGACTACTGTAATGCCCTCTACATGGGGCTACCCTTGGGACAGCTACAGAGACTGCAATGGGTCTGGAATACGGTGGCCAGACATCTGAGTGGGGCTAGAAAATACCAACATAGTTCCCCCATTCTGGCCGCCTTACAATGGCTACCCGTTCGCTTCTGTACCAGTTTTAAGGTGATGATATTAACCTATATGGCCCTAAACAGTTTGGGACCTCAATATCTGGTTGAGCGCCTCCTTCCAGTTAGGCCTGCCCATCCTATAAGATTATCAAGGGCAGGATGTTTGAGAGTTCTGACCCTGAGAGAGGCCAGGAAAACATCCACTAGAAATTGGGCCTTCTCAGTGGTAGCACCACAACTATGGAACCCTCTTCCGCCCAAAGTCTGCCTGGCCCCTTCACTGGGCACATTCAAAAAGCTACTAAAAACCTGGCTATTTAGACAGGCCTTCCCTAAACAAAGAACACCCTGATGCAATAGTGCCCGATAATATAACATCTATCATACTGCTATATGTTCCATGTTTTTATATTTTTCTATACTTTTAATTGTATATTTTGTACTGTAATTTTATGCTCACTGCACTTTATGACTTTTGATTTGCACCCCAATGTATTGATGTTTTCATTTGTTTTTTGCTACTTTCTTGTTTTGTGTTACTTGTTATAAACCGCCCAGAGTGGCCTTGGCTGCCAGATGGGCGGTGTGTGTGTGTGTGTGTTTATGTAAATGTAAATAAATAAATAAACAAAGTTCAGAGTGAGTTCCTTTTACACATACTGTATAGATAACTTGTATGTGTTTTGTCTTTTATAACAGGTACAGTAAAAGAGTGCCTTGAAAATCTAGTAATTCAGTGAGACAAGAAGTCTTTCTGCTGGATTTTCTAGAGAGGAGCAAGCCAGTAGGGTCATCACTGGGATAACATTTTTTGACGTATTTTCATGTACTGTTTTTGACTACCATTTAAATGATGTACTTTCAAAAAGCAGAATCAAGCGCAAGAACACATACCTTATCTACAAGGAGAGGATGTTGGTCATCCTGGATTCTACTACGGACTGAATAAAAGAACTTAGAAAATGGAATCTGTCAGTAAAAAGGTACAGAATAGTTAGAAGCAAGCACATTTAGACACCTGGCTGCAAATGTCTTTATATAAATACCACAGAGTAGTTTTACTTTCTGATCTGCATTATTCTTTCAATTGATTGCACCTAAATACCCAATTATGTCAAGAACAGTTATATGTTTTGAGAAAATAAATTATGTATGTATCCTTAAGTTAAGAGGAAGCTAAAGTGATGGATCAGTAAATCTGCCTATAAGAAAACATTTTCTACTGCAGACAAATGGCAATCAACAGTAATAAATTACATATTAATATTCAACATAGCAATACTAGGTACTGTACTTGCATTTACTAGTACTGGAAAATGTTTCAATCAATTTTTATATTACCAAAAAATACAAAAAGCCAATAACAAACAGTTTTGTACACACTTTGCCCCCACTCAAGAGAGGAAAATACCCTGATGCTACTTCATGTCCACATTAAGCAGTATCTTAAAATGCAGCTATAGCAGTTCTGAGTGTACACAACACATCTCCTTTCTCCTTCAGATTTAGAAAGTGTTCTGCTTATATACTGCCTCACAGTGCTTAAAGCACTCTCTGGGCAGTTTACAATTTAATTATGAAGGCTGCACGTTGCCCTGGAAAGATGCAACAATGTGTATGTACATACTCTATATGAACTTATTAATCAAGCAGCAGCCTCCAACTCTATGACATAAAATAAGTAACATAACATTGATTTTAAAAATCATGCCTATCATACATTGTTCAGAGTATTATGAAAATATGCATTACTTTACCCTGATTTCCTCCCAATATGGGCCTCCTCGTGTGAACATGAAGTAATTATAGAGGATATCTTTAGTATGAGAGAAATATGGGTTGGTATATATGTTTATCATCCAGGGTCTACCATCACCACGAACACGCAGGTGCAGGCTATTGAAATTTGTCCAATCATAAGGTCTGTCCCGATTAAAGGCACCCTGTCAAAAAATAATAATGCTCTCAGTATTTTATCTGTTATTACCTTCAGCTGAAAAGCTTCTCCCTGACTTGAATATTGCTACTGAATTTTTAAATTTTAATGTTTTACTGTCTCATAAGTTATAACTAGAGATGGGAGTATTCATATACGAAAAGCCCCACACAGCTGGAGTTAATGAGGGTCCGTCCATTCATGCATCTGCCATTGGCGCCGGGCCTGCTCTTCCTTCCAATTGCTCCGGAGTTCCCGGTCGGCTAGCCACTCCTGGCAGAAGAAGGGAAGACGAGTCTCCCTGCAGGCCTGACGACCAGGCGCTCTGGAGCGATTGGAAGGAAGAGTGGGGCCATTGGATGTGTGAGTGGACAGTCACATGTCCTGGGGCCGGACCCTTGTTAACTTCAGCTGCGCATGGATATTCATATTTGTACCCCCATCTCTAGTTATAAACTATATCCTTTAGGCCTGATCCATAACTTTCTCACCCTGTACAAATTCCAATGCTCATTATACCAACCCCAAACCTAACTATTTCTCCTGCCCAAAAATTATGCTAATGTTGTGTTACACTGAAGTTTCATGGGGAGGAACAGCAGTTCTGTGACTCCAGCTGCCACTTCCATTTATGGCATAGATGCCTGTCCTGGTAGAACTGGCGGCTGTAGATCATCTCCAAAGCAGATGGTTTATTCCACTGTATACAGATTCGAATTATTTTACAATAGGTGGGGAAGATGGTCAACAGTGACTGACAATACAGTGGCATTATGAACACGGAGGCGCGCAGAGTGCGGGCGGCATACAAGTCGAATGAGTGAATGAATGAATGAATGAATGAATGAGATATCTAGTGTGGTCCCTAACCTTTTCCCAACTGCGGACTGGTTGGGAGGGCATGTTGTGCTTGCGGGGTGTGTGTGTGTCGCGCTTGCGGGGGGCGTATCATGCTTGCAGGGGGCGCATGTCATACTTGTAGGGGGGCAGGAGATCTGTGTCCACAGCCTGGTCCTGCCTAGGCCATGGAGCACTGCCGGATGGCGGACCAGGGGTTGGGGACTCCTGGTCTAGTGGACAGAGTAATGACTAATGAAGGCTTCTGGGAGTTGCAGTCCAAAACTCCTGAGTAACCCAAGGTTAAGAACCAGTGGTCTAGTGGACAGAGTAATGACTAGGAATCAGGAGACTTGGGTTTGAATCTCTGCTCAGCCATGGAAATACACTGAGGATGTGGAATTGGTAAAACCACTCAAATATCGCACTTGCCTTGAAAGTCCTGTTAGAGTTGCTATAAGGTGGTTCTGACTTGATGGCACATAACCACAACAATATATGAACATGATTCCATCTGTTTACTTCATGTCATATAAAGAGCAGAAAATAATTACTAGCCGAAAAATCACTGAGAGAAGAATGTAGCTGAAATCCTGTTCCATAATTTATGCTGTGTAACTTTTTTGCAAATGAAACACCCCAGGTTTCTCCCGTGGAATCTATTTCATCATAATTGGGGATGCAGGATGTGAAGGGGAAGTCTTTAACTGACAAAATTGCAAACACCTGGATGACTTCACCAATCTTCAGAAATGAAATAACTCTTCCTTACTTTTTGGAAAACCAAAATATGTTTGCTTATGTGCAAAGATTCCAATCATATGCTATATATACAGGACTTAATAAGAACACAGAAACAGAATACAAATTAATTTTGCTTTGTTAAATAAAGAGTGGGTTTGAGAGAAATGTACCCAAAATTGAAGTTAAATTATTTTATTTAGAAAGTTTCCTCCCTCTTCACCCTCAGAATTTAAATTCTAAATATCATAATTCAGTTTTGTTAAGCGATTTGTTAGCCAGCCACATTTTGTATAAAGTTTGGGTCTAGTATGGGATGTGAGTGGTGCTGTGGGTTACAGTGGAGTCTCAACTTACGGTTGGCTCCACTTACAAATTTTTTGAGATCCGTACTTCTCTGGCCACAAAGATTTACTTCGACTTGCGGCTCGAGAATCGACTTACAGACCAGAAGAGGGAGGTGGGAAAAGCGCCTAATTCAAATTTGGCGCTTTCCCCACCTTCCCCTTCCAGTCCGTAGGCCGCGGATCTGCCTCCGGATGCCTTCCAGGGCTTCTCTGCCACCATGGGAGGAATCTTGGAGGCCCCCCCACTGCTGATAGTGCCTCCGAAGCATGCTTCCCATGGTGGCAACAGCGGCGGCAGCAGGGTGGGGGGACCTCCGGATGCCATTCATAAAGTGTTGTGTTAAGATAGATGCATGATTCAAGTTTCATATTCCTGCTATCTTTTAATATCTAACTTATTTTGTATATTTTATGTAATGTTTTTATCCTTGTATTTTTGGGTCTTTGACCGTACAATAAATTCGGGGACTGGAAATCAAGCCCTAAGAGAAAAGACTGAAAGAACTGGCGCCAATTGTGCCTCTGAAGCACGATCAGCCGTGGCGGGGTCCTCCAAGATGTCTCCCATGGTGGCTGGGAAGGCCTCCGGAGGTTCCCGTCCCGACGCAGGCTCTCTCGGGCAGTAGACCAGGCCTACTGGGGGAAGCCTTCCCCTTGTAGGCCCAGTCCAGCCAGGGAAAGCCTGCGTTGGCGGGGAACCTCTGAGAGGCCTCCGGCAGTAGCGCCGAAGCCCTCAGAGTCCTCCAGCAGCAGCTATGACTGTGGCAGGGGAGCTCCAGGAGGCCTCTGAAAGCGGCAATGGCAGCGTTGGGGGACCCCTGGAAAACTACGAAAAGGTTAATTTTTAAAAATGTATTTTAATTTTATGTGGGGGTGTTTCTTGGGCAGTTTACCGATTAAATGGTTTTCAATGCATTCCTATGAGGAATGCATTTTCGACTTGAGGACTTTTCGACCTACGGACCCCGTTCCAATACGGATTAATTCCGTAGGTCGAGACCTCACTGTAAATTGCTAATCTACTGGGCTTTTGATCGAAAGTCAGCAGTGTGAAACCATACAATGAAGTGAATTCTTGTTGCTTGTCTGAGTTCCTTGCCAACCTAGCAGTTCGAAAGCATACAAATGTGAGTAGATGAACAGGTACCACCTCAGCTGGAATGTAACAGTGTTCCATGTCTAGTCTTGCCAGCCACATGACAATGGAAAGTGTCTATAGACAAACACTGACTCTTCAGCTTACCAGCTGGGATGAGCACCGGCCCCTAGAGTCGGACATGACTGGACTTAATTATCAAGGAGGATCTTTACCTTTTACCTTGGGCCTAGTCACATCTCATTTTTAGGCATTCCTTCAAAGAGATGTTTCACTATGACATTATTTCAAGAATATGACAATGCATCTTTCGCTCACCAATTCTGCAGATACTGTAGAGAATATAAAAATTTGTGCAAAGATTGTCATTTGCAATCCTTGACAGTACATTCCTGTACATATATACAAGGAAATAATTCCAAGAAAATATGTGAAATCCAAATAATAAAAGTAAACTAACACGTGTTTAAGAAGACTCTGCTCTCTATCTCACTCCACAGAACTGTTCTTGAAAATCTGCTCACACTCAGTAGGCAATGGGGGTGGAGGAGAGGGAATCCCTCTCATTCTGCTAATGGAAGCTACTCTTGTTAATGTGAGTGATCAACTGGATACAACTCAGTGGACCAGATCCTCATGCATAGGTATGCAAATAGTGTAACTTTTAGAGACAAATTGTCCCAAATTAAGAAATCACCATACAACTCAGTATACAACTGACAACATCGATGATGAGCTCGTCCCTTGAAGCCAGGGTGGATAAAAATCAAAATGACTTAAATCATTAATTAAATTTTTAAAAATGATTTTTTTAAAAAATCATTAAAAATCCAATTCTTAAAAATTTAAATCAATTTGATTTAAATCAAGTCCACCTTCCTTGGGGCAATTTGCTTTCAAAGGTTACAGTTTGTGTTATCCCAGTGTAACTTGGTAATAGAATTTTAGTCAATATATTCAGAAATGCAGCATTATTGGTCTGCATATTTAAAAAGCTAATCCAAGGGAAAACAATGCTGTATAAAAATTATATAGAAAGCAGTTTTATTACTAAGAGCTAGAATTAATTTCTGGCATAAATATTAACTTTAATTTTAAAAAAAGAGTATTACAAAAGTTCACTATACTTACCAGTCGTGGTTTTGTTTTCATGGCACAATAGCCACTATATTTTGTCTCTCCATCACGTGGTACAGTAGTATCGATGGTCCCATACAGCACAGCAGACTGGTTATTTTTTCCTAGTTTTAGATAGACTTCACTTTTCCCTCCAATTTCAGCATCAGAAGAGATCACCCATTGTTTCAAGTCTTCTTCACTACGAAACTGCCAGACCACCCTTGTCTGTTCCGTAAGATACTCTGACAATGTAAGTCCATCAACTCCTCTTAAATGATCAACTATTTCCTTTTTTAGACGTCGCGAATGTTCCTTGATCACTTCCACTCCCTTTTTCAAGTCAATGTGAATGTTCTTCCATGGTGGAGTATTATCAGGTGCTGTTCCTGGTCTCCTGTAGCTGCTGTACCACCTTGGATTGTAATCTTCAATAAAAGGTCTAAGCAACAAACACAGGCCATTTGGACCATGACTTTTATTTAGAGGGCCAACAGCATCCAGCACTCTGAGAAATAAAGCCATACCAACAGTAATAAAACCAGAGTCTTCTGTGATGAACAGCTTTTCACAAACTTCTTATCCAAACAGGAATAATGCTGTCTATTTCTGATTAATGATATTTTTCCTCCATCTGTAACAACAGAAAACAAAATAGGTATTTGAAATAAACCTGTTTCAATAATTTGTTTTTCCAACTTTACTGAGATTTTGCACATACTTTTAATTTGATCTATGCAAGTCACCTTTATTAGCATCATAACACAAAGTAAATTCCTGCCTAACAGCTACAATTATATCACATACACACTACCTGATCTCACTGTTCTTAAAAATAATGAGTAGGTGCCACTAAAGTTAATATTTACAGTTGTGTTTCTTTTGCCACTTTGCAACTCACAATGAAGAGCAAAACTGCATGTACAGATGTAAATACACACACTTGGCACCACATGTTTTTTCATTCCACAATTAGCCACTCATAAGAGCACTTACCCCTCTTCAGAGGTAAATGACAAACTGAAAAACCTAACTTGCTGTATGTGAATTAATAATCCCCATGCCCCCTGGACAACAAAAATATAACACATAATGTTATGCTATATAGCTAGTAGGTGCTAAATAAAACAAAGCTTGAACTCTCTTTTAAAAACAAAAAATAACTAAACTGAAAATGTGGTACTCTGAAGTCAACATTAGAAGACAAGACTCACTGGAAAAGACAATAATGCTGGAAAAAAATGTGAAGACAGCAAGAAAAAAAGGAAGCCCAAATATGAGATGGTCTGATGTGACAAAGCAACCAAAGCTTTGAGTTTGCAAGACAAGTGCAGGGCTCTTAGTCAAGGTTCCCTCTAAGCTGTGCATGTGCAATTCCACCTCCCTCCTTTCTTCCTCCTCTGTGCAGCGATTATGTTCAACCCCCTCTTTGGATCATGACAGAATCCTGTGCGGCGGCGGGGGGGGGGCAGAGTCACATGTGCATGCAGGGGTTGAGTTGTGTGTGAAAAACAGAGCCCTGCCCAGCGGGGGCTGAAAATTAGTGGTATTAGTGACAGGAGCTTTCGGTGGCCACTACTTCATAGGATTCGTGTAAGTCAGAAGCAACTTGGAAACACATAACAACATGAACAGCAACAAGAAGATAGCTATTAGAAGCATCATTGAGTTATTCTGAACACCAAATACTATGGCTAAATCTTAAGCACTAGGATAAACTATTTAGAAAAGTAACATTCTGAAACTTTCTGGCAAGCATTTTAGTGCCAGTACTTGTAAAAGAACTGGCACTAAAATCTGAAGATGAGATAAAGAGGATTGTACTCTTAGGTACTAACTAACACCTTTCATCACGTCCAGATAGTGATTGAAGGGAATAGGATGGTGTTTTCTCACTGGCAGAGAGAAGTAACATACCTGCATGCTTCATCTGTACATAGGCAGGAAAGCTGCCAAAGGTGGGAATTGGATGAAAACCCTAAAATGCAGCATTCCCTTGTTAGGAGAAGTTGGCTTTGACCCACAATCTTCAAAGTCATGACATTCCCCAAAGAACCCAACTGAGCCCATCAGCTATGCCAGCCCTGGATGTGATGTACCCAATCCTTTGCCTCCTACTGTTGTCATCAAGAGCAATCTGTAAATGCATGCATCTGCCAGGCAAAAGAACCTGGCAATACTCTACCACCACTTACCCTGGAGCATGCAAGCCCACAAGGGTGCGAGTGACAATGAAGATAACATCTACTGACTTCAGTCAGGACTACTCTGGTAAATCACTACGTAGTAACCCAGAAATAATATTTTAAAAGCCACATCAGCAGGTCTACCAGTTTGTCAAATTTTTCTGTAAAGGTGAACAAAAACACCAGATACAACATGGGTTATGGAGGAGCTCAGACTGGATTTATACAAGCCCAGAAAAATATGAAATAGTGCATTACTGTGCAGTTAATCCAGACTGCCACTGGTCTTAGTATAAGATTCTTCACCACACTTACAGCGTTTTAAGAAAATAATCTATAGCAAGAAGACGGGAAAAAGAAGCAAATAAAAGACTTCCAGCTTGGTGGGAAGACAAAAGAGGGCCTTCTTTGTTGCAGCTCCCAGACTGGAACTCCCTCTCATGGGAAGCCAAGCTGGCTCCCACTTTGCAGCTCCCAGACTGGAACTCCCTCTCACGGGAAGCCAAGCCGGCTCCCATTTTTGTTGTCCTTCCACACGCAGACAAAGACCTTTCTCTTTAGTCAGGATTATTGTGCACTGTTGCTTTTAAATGTGTTTTAGTATTGATTTTATTTGCAATTTTTAATATAATATAATGTAGTATAATATAATATAATGTAGATTGTTTTTATTATTATTATATTATTATTATTTATTGTATTTAGACCCCGCCTATCTAGTCATTTCGACCACTCTAGGCGGCTTTTTTGTTTTTGTTTTTGTTTTCACTGTACAGTATTGGCTTTTATCTTTTAACTGTATTGGCTTTTATCCTCACTAGACGCTCTAGCCTCTCTAGTATTATGATCACACGCAGTTATCATAGTGCTGATTGTGATACTTATCACTTCCTGGTGTGTAAGAGTAAAACTGTGAACAAAGAGATTGTATCACACGAAAAAGGAAGGAAGGCCACGTATTGATATCAGCAAGACTCACAATCCAAGAAAAGTGGAAGAATTTGCCCAAGGGCTTGAGGAAACCCTTCCAGGCCCAGCTGATGCAAATGCACCTGAACAATGGTGCATTATAAACAGAAAGCTGTTTATAATACCGCCTTGTCCACATTTGGCAAGACCCAAAAGACGGCAGACTGGTTTGAAGCCCATTCGAAGGAGCTGATGCCAGCCATCGAGGATAAGAGAAGAGCTCTAGCAGCATACAAAGCCTGTCCTAGTGAGTACAATTTGCAGGCTCTTCAAGTTGCTTGTAGCAAAGTCCAACACGCTGCCAGGAGATGTTCTAATAATTATTGGCTTCAGTTCTGTGCTCAGATACAGATAGCAGGGAAACAGGCAGCATCAAGGGAATGTATGACAGCATCAAGCAGCTTTAGGTCCAATACAAAAGAAATTGGCTCCTTTAAAGTCTGCTACAGGCGTGATCATCCACGACAGAACACAGCAGATGGAACACTGGGTGCAGCACTACTCTGAACTATATTCCAGAGAGAATGTAGTAACCGAAGAAGCATTAAATAACATTGAGTGCCTGCCTGTCTTGGAAGAGTTGGACAGTGAACCAACTTTAGCAGAAATAAAAGTGGACCTGGATTCCCTTGCCTCCGGCAAGGCACCTGGGAAGGATAAGAAATCTTTGATGGAGGGAAGGTGAAGTACCACAAGACATGAAAGATGCAAACATTGTCACACAAAGGAGACAGGGCGACTGCAATACCTACAGTGGCATCTCTCTTCTCAGTGTTGTAGGGAAGCTGCTTGTCTGTGTTGTGTTGAAGAGGCTCCAGGTTCTTGAAGACAGTCTATCCAGAATCACAGTGCGGATTTCGAGCTAATGGAGCCACCACTGACATGATGTTTTCCCTCAGTTGCAGGAGAAATGTAGGGAACAACAACAACCACTCTTTGTGGCCTTCATAGATCTTACAAAGGTCTTTGATCTGGTTAGCAGGGATGGACTTTTTAAAATCCTTCCCAAGACTGGATCCCCACCTCGACTCCTTAACATCATCAGGTCCTTTCAGGAGGAAATGAAGGGCACTGTAGTTTTTGATGGCTCAACATCAGATCCCTTTGACATCCGAAACAGAGTAAAACAAGGCTGTGCCCTCGTGCCGACCCTGTTTGGGATCTTCTTTGCTGTCATGCTGAAGCAGACCTTTGGAACTGCAAGAGAAGGTGTTTATCTCCGGAGTAGATCAGATGGAAAGCTCTTTAATCTCACTAGAGTGAGAGCGAAGACCAAAGTCCAACTGAAGTGCATGCGGGACTTCCTCTTCGCCGATGATGCAGCCATTGTTGCCCATTCTGCTGAAGACCTCCAAGAACTCATGAATCGTTTTAGCAAGGCCTGCCAAGACTCTGGATTGACAATCAGCCTGAATAAAACACAAGTCATGGGTAAGGGCCTGGAATCAGCTCCCTCTATTACCCTCTCCACACAAGAATTGGATGTTATTTATGACTTTGTGTACATTGACTCAACGATCTCTGACACTCTCTCCCTAGATGTTGAGTTGGATAAACGCACTACATCTCTGACACTCTCTTTCTTTAGACTCAAAAAGAGAGTATGGCTTAATATGAAGCTGATGACACATACCAAGATCCAGGTCTATAGAGCCTGTGTCGTGAGTACACTCCTGTACTGCAGTGAGCCCTGGACCCTTTGTGCATGGCAGGAGAGGAAGCTGAACACGTTCTATGTGCCTTGTCTCCGACGCACTTTTGGTATCACCTGGCAGGGCAAAGTTCTAAATAGAGTAGTCCTAGTCCCATTTGTTGGGAAAGTGTGAAGGCAAGAGGAGAAGGGGACAACAGAGGATGAGATGGATGGACAGTGTCATCGAAGCTACCAAGGGAAAACTCTGGAGCAGATTATAAAACAGTCACTCTGCACGTGCCTTGAAAACAATGCAGTAATAACTAGAATCCAACATGGATTTGTCAAGAACAAATCCTGCAAGATGTATCTTATAACATTTCTGATTGGGTAACCTCTCTTGTAGACAGTGGAAATGCTCTAGATGCAATGTATCTTGACCTCAGCAAAGCCTTCAGAAACGTGCCCCATGATATTCTGATTTGCAAACTAGGTGTGGGCTGGATAAAGTAACTATCAGGTGGATGGATACACAGTTGGTTACAGAATTGTACTCAGAGAGTGTTATCAATGGCTTATTCTCAAACTGGGAGGAGGTAACAAGTGGGGTAACAGAAGGCTCAGTCTTGGGCCCTCCCTGTGCTCATCCACATTTTTATTAATGACTTGGACAAGGAAATGCTTATCAAATTTGCAAAACAACACAAAAGTGGGTGGAATATCTAATACCCTGGAATATAGGAACAAAATTCAAAATATCTCAATAGGCTTGAATACCTGGCTGAAAACAACAGAATGAAATTTACCAAGGATGTCAACAAACTGGAACAAGTTGAACGGAGGGTAACAAGGGTGATCAGGGGACCGGAAACCAGGTCCTATGAGGAAAGACTGAAAGAAGTGGGCAAGTTTAGCCTTGAGGGGGAAAAAGACTGGGATAGGTATGACTGCACTTTTCAAATACTTGATTGCTTGTCATATAGAGGAGGGGCAGGATCTGTTCTTGATCCGAGAGTGCAGGACATGTAATAATGGGCTCAAACTACAGGAATATCAGGAAAAAAAATCCTAACTGTCAGAGCACCAGGGCAGTGCAACCAATCACCTCAAGAGGTGGTGAGTGCTCCAACGCCTGAGGCATTCATGAGAAAACTGGACAACCATCTATCAGATCTGCTTCTATTTGGATTCTTGCATTAAGCAGTGGGCGGCCTTATAGGCCCCTTTCAACGCTATTATTCTATAATTCGACAATTGAAAATAGAAGCTTCAAAAGATTCTCCACTTCAAGTGCTCTTCAAAGTGCTCTCTCTTTTACGAAAACACTATTTTTTTCGAGCCCTTTATAGAAAAACGCCGCGCGGTTACGAACCCGTGTGCTAATAAATAAGACGGCTTGCCATGGGCAGTTAAATAACGAACGAACAAACGAGCGGCTGAGCTCCAAGACGCACCTCGTCTTTTGACAGTTTCAAAGCAAGTCCCCTTCCCAAATAGCTTCCGCTGGCCTCCCCCGCCCCCACGCACGACTTACCTGCCACAAGGTTTCCTCCGCCAGCTAGTAAACGACAAGGCGCCCGGCGGTCATCAAGAAGGTACGCCACGCAGTTTTCCTCCGCCAGGAAACAAAGGCTACGCGCCAAAGGTTCCGCACTGAAGACGGCGGCCTTTTCCCCCTGGAGTTCCCAGAACCGTTGCTCCTTTTCTGCCAACGGTGAATTCTTCGCACTTGAACGCCCTTTAAATAATTTTTAAAAAAAAACACCGAAAAGGGAGTTGGGCCGTCGTGGCCCTCACGAACGCACAACTCCTCGTAACGGAACGGCGTGTGAGAGAGAGCATACGTTTCTAGAGGATTCCGAAGCCGTTACGGGCCTTCCGTTAACCGTTGTTGGAAAGAGGCCATGCTCAAACAATGCTTCCACAGTACGCATTATAGATCTTATGTTCCTCCTGACCACAAAACAACAGCGAGCCACTTTTATTTCTCCAGGTGAAAACACCCCCCCTCCCCGATACAGAAGCGAGGGGGGGGATAACGTTTCTATCTGGGACCAGACTTGCCCGTTACCACTCTCCCCCGCCAGCTTCTCCCGGGCAACGCTCCTCCCGCACTGACCACGCCCGCGTTCTACGCCACCGTTGTGGCCACGCCCCCAGCAGGCGGGGCGGCGCACGGCGCATGCTCGGTGCCCTTTGTGTCCCGGGCTGGTTGGCTGGCGGGCGGCTGGCTCGGCAAAGGCCCGGCCGATCAGGGGGAGCGAGAGGACGGTCGCCGGGGCCCGCTCTGAAGACG